AGGCACGGCGGACAATCACAGAGACAAGAATATGAATATTTTGTGGTTAAGGCAAATTCAGAATTGTTTTGAGATCTCTATATTGAACCTTATATATATAAAGTACTACCACTTATATATTACTTGTATTTATTAATTAGTGTAAATATCTTACATCCAAGGGAAAAGGAGGAAGTAGGGAAGGGAAGGGGGGGGGGGGAATGGGGGTGGCAGGGGGAAGGGGTAGCAGAGGGGAGGGGAGGGGGTGGGTGAGGAAGAGAGTATAAAAGGCAAAACTTGCTGGACTGTGCTTAGGAACAGTGTTTGTGGTTTCTATTACAGAAATGAAATGTTCTCAGCTTTATTACCCTTGAACTCTTTCTTACTCCTCAGCTGGTCAGCCCTTACCTTTCTCCTTCAATCTCTCTCTCTCTCCTCAGAGAAAGTTCGGAGGTTTTAGGGTAGTCACTCATCCAGTCATCCTAGAGAACGCCTCCCTACGACGGTTGTTTGGGCCACCCCTTTCATTGGCTGCGACAGAAAGGCGGTTTTTTTTTATTCAATTTGTTATAATATTTTTATGGTTCACTGGAGTTTTTGCTTTGTATGCGTGTTTGTTGATCTTGTTTTTTCGAATTTGATACAGAAATTGAGCTGTATAGACCTTGATCGGGTACAATTTGGTGTTACCTTTGAAGATATCAAACCCAAATCAGGTATGTTCTTCTGCAATCAATCGTATTTAACTGTTTCCTATTTATTTGCCTTACTTTTTTTCCCTTTGTTTCGATCTTATACGGCCTTTTGACAGTTTCTTTCTGTAATTTTACTTTGGTTTTCTGAATTTTGGTACGTTTTTTAAATGATCGGTTTGAATTTTGAATTTCATCTTTGCTTGTTGGACCACCAACACTGTGATATGATGTCTCTTTGGTAAAAAAGATTTGATCTGGTAAACTATACTTCTTGGCAATTTAAGGTAGTAACATAGGATACAAAAGGTTATGAAAATAAACCCTTGATGGGCATTTGAGTGTTGTAGAAAATTTGAAAGTTAACACCATGGGTATTGAGTGTTGTAGAAAAATCTTTAATCTAATCATCCTCAAATTCTTTTAATTTTATGTCTCGACAGCAACACATCATCGACAACCGCAACAATGGAAAGAGGACAAAGCAACGGTGGCTGACCTGTGGGCGCGATCAGGAGGAGCCGCAACAACGTCTAAGAAAAAGACGGAACAAGGACAGTGAATATGAAAGCAAGAAATACAACACCTTAAATTGTGAGACATGTTTTCTCCTTTTCTTTCCCTCAAATTTAAGTGGCCTTTTTGTTATCTAAAAATCAATTTAATTTTACTATTATTTTAATTGTGATTTTTCTCCTGTACTTTATTAAGTTTATTATGGGGTTTTTTTCTTAAAAAAAAAAAAAAAAAAGAATTTGTGGGTTTGTGCTGAAATTGTGAGTATTGCTGAGTGAAAATTGGAAATTATGGAGTAGCAATTTTAATGAAGATAGTTTGGTTGTTTGTTTTATTTTGAGTCGGTTTAATTGATAGTTGGTCTTTTAACGAACTTTATTTGTTGATCTTGTGTTTGATTTTTTATTACTGTACCATCTTGGCTACAACTTGGTCTATTATTTGGTTTGCAGAAATAAGCTCCTGTTTGAAGGAATATCGCTGAATATGGGTATTATTGCTGCTAGTTTTTTGAAGCTTGTTTGTGATTACTCGCTGTATGAGACTAGAGTATTCAATACCCACTTGAAAAAGATGCTACATGGAGCTGCCCACCTGAAGGTATAATTAAAATAAATGTTGACGCTCACTTTGGTGCTGGCACAAGTGGTGGTCTAGGTGCTGTTGCGAGGGATCACTTTGGCCGCATATTATGGGCTGCGGATAAGAAGACTCCTATGGACTGGAATGTGGAATTGGCGGAGGTGGCTGCTGTTAGGGTGTCAAATGGCTAAGAGATTGGGTTACGAAAGTGTATGATCAGGAGTCAAAAGGGAGTAGGGGAAGGGTAATCAACACCATTAGAGGGTCTGCTGCTAGATGGTCTCCTATAAGGCTTATTTACGATGATGTACGTAGAATAGTTATGTCTTTTAATACTTGTATATTTCTCATGTAAAAAGAGCATATAATTAATTATACGGTTGCCCATTTAGTGGCTAGGTGGGACACTAGTAAGTGCTCCGAGAAAGTTTGTATGGGTTCTTTCCCTAAGGTCTTCTATCCTTCGCAGAACTTGACTTAAATTAATGAAATGCTCTAAGTCAGTGCTTGGTACTTGACCAGTGTCGAACTAGATGGTGATTCTCAAATTACTATATTAAACATACAGCAAATTAGATATACATGCCATTAGAGCAGTTAAAACAATGTTGTTTCCAGTTTCAGCATCAGATTAAGTAGAACTTCTGTTTAATACATAGTACATAACAAGCATTCAAAAGTTTCTAATTTGGAGGTTACAAATTCTAGATAGAATTAGAGTTGATCTTGCTCTAATTGTGACAATCTGACTAAATTGTGACATGGGTTCATCATTTTTGTTTAATTAAGAAAAAGCTGATAAAATTGCAAGAATTTCAACTTGTAGTGGTTAACACAACAACAGATGTGGGAGACTATCTTTAAGACCCAATCTCCAGATTGGTCCCTGCATATAGAGGCTAAACCCACAAATAGAGAGGAGAAAGGATGGATTCTCCATTTATTTGTTGTACATTAACCTTTTAATTTAATCGCAGAGTACATAGTATGGGGTATTAGTTTTTTCGTTTTGTAGATAAAAAAAATGAGAAATAGAAATTCCTTAAAATTGTAATTAGGGGGAGTTGTTTGATTGAAAAAAAACGAAGAGGAAATGACATAAGTGAAAAAAATTACAAAAGGTAGGAATTCAATTACCTAATCCCTTAGGTAGATAGAATTTTTCATGAAAAATTACTTCTCACATCGATAACCAAATAACTTTATAAAGACCTTACGATCATATGCAATTCCAACATTGGCGGAATGAAATAAGCATTTTTTTTTTTTTTTTTTTTGTAAAAGAAACAAATTTAAGAAAATGATATGAGCTGTTTGGTTGTACTTGTTTAATATAGGCAAGAGAAATTCCTATAAAATGCTTAGATATCTTGTTGCTTGTTTAGCATGAAATATACTCCGTACAAATAGGCTAATTGTAGCTTTTTGGAAATTTTGAGGTCCTACCAATCATAGGAAGTTAATTACTCCACCTCCCCCCCTTTTTTTAATAGTAATTACTTTGTACCTAACTTACCCTAAGTCATTCACAATTTACAAAAAATGCAAATTATCATATGTCAACCAAACAAGTTTATCAAATTCTTATGAAATAAAATATATGAAAGAAATTATTTCTTAAGAAATATAAATTACCATCAAATTCTTATAAAATAAAATATATGAAAGAAATTATTTCTTAAGAAATGTAAATTAGCATGATTATTTAATTTCCAACGCAACCAAACAAGCACTATATGTAGCTAGGGCTGGCAATCATGTCGTGTCTGTTTGTGTCGGAAATTAAACAAGTTGAGGACGTGTTAATCTGATTGATTAAAAGTGTTGAATACATTTAACACTAACTCACTTTTTCGTGTCCGGTTCGTATCGTGTTGTATGAAAAATATTAGCCTTATTCTATATAATATATCAATAATTATATAAATTATAGGGTTTTTATATTAGATGGGTTGAGTCGGGTTAACATATTGTTAGAGAATATCAATACTGATCTGTTTTAATTAAATGTGTCATATCATGTTGACCCGTTTAATTACATGTATTAAAAACCCTTAACAATAATCATTTTTTTTCTTATTTAATTCGTGTCGTGTCAACTTTTATCAATTGTATATGTAATTTTAAAACACGTATACTTACCAAAAAATAAATTGATGTTTAAATACACATACTCCATAGACAAATATAAAAGAAAGAGAAAAAAAAAACATGTTACGGAGTATTACGTAGTCCTCCACAGTACAATTATAATTATGTGAAACGACTAGTCACTAGAGTTCATGGGCAGTGGACGAACTGACAATGGTGGTAATATTGGGCTATTGGCGTTGTAATTTCTGCTGCCCAACTCTCTCCATCATTTCATAGTTTTACTTCTTCGGTTCTTCCTACAATCCTACCAATTCTACATGTTAAAACTCCATTTCCACAAAAAAAGTAAAAAAAAACCCTCCATTTTCATGAAAACTCTGTCTTCTTCTTTTATTTTTCTTTGCCATTTTTAGTAGTCAAATTTCAAAACCTTTTTCTCTCTCCTCATTTGGGTCATCATATTTTTCTTGTGAGGTAATTTCTTTCTTTTTTGTTGTTTCTAAGTTTAATGAGCTTGTTTTTGTTAGTATGGTGTATGTCTGTATGATATGTGTTTTTTTTTTTTTTTTAATTTGTGGGTTGCTTTTATTTGCTTCATATTCTCTCATTCTAGGGTTTTTGAGTTTGATCAAGTTGATTTTACATGGTAAAATATCTTATTTTGTATTTCTCTGGAATTTCGTTCATCTACTGTTGCTTTATACTCCGTATTGTTTAAATAAGGTTTTTTTTTTTTCCTCTGTTCTGGGTTTATGAAGAACATGCGGGGGTTTTCTGGTTTGAACTTGATATTTGCCTTTTATGCTCTGGTTACCCACTTACCCTGTTGATCTTGATGTAGATAATTTGTGAAACTTGTCATATTTTGGTTTTGAAATTTGAGTAATGTGTGAATTTGCCGTATTTTTTGGTTTTAAACGTTGAGTAGTTTGTTATTCTGATTCTTAATATTGTTTAAATAAGGTTGTTTTTTTTTTTCCTCTGTTTTGGGTTTTGAAGAACATGCGGGGTTTTTCTGGTTTGAGCTTGATATTTGCCTTTTATGCTTTGGTTACCCACTTACCCTGTTGATCTTGATGTAGATAATTTGTGAAACTTGCCATATTTTGGTTTTGAAATTTGAGTAATTTGTGAAACTTGCCGTTTTTTTGGTTTTAAACGTTGAATAAAAACTTGCCGATTTGTGAAATTTGCCGTTTTTTGGTTTGTGAAACTTGCCATATTTGAAGGCTCTGATTTTTTGGGTATATATGGAGTATAAATTTATTTACTCTTTTTTTTTGACGAAAAACGCATCTTAGCTCAATTTATTATTTCACCAAGTTTTCAATATCGTGACATAAAGCCCCCTGAATTTCAGTTGGGTACTCTTCAAGCCAAACACGATATTCACTAAAATTGAAACTCAACTTTGCTAAGCTATGGGCAACAATATTACCCGACCTTCTAACAAAAGAAAAAACACAACTCTGACAGCTTCTAGCAAGCATCAGAATATCCCTCACCAAATTGCCAAAAGAGCAAGGAGATATGGAGCCCTTTTTCAGATGGTGGAACAACTTAATGTTATCAGTTTCCAGGATAAAGTTCCTAAAGCCCGCTTCCATGGCTATCTTTAGGCTGGATCTCATACCAATCGCTTCACCAACAGCAACATCTACCTTCCCATTCTCTTTCGAACAAAAGGCTACCACAGCAGTCCCCTCCTCATTTCTCAATATCCCACCAATTCCCAGCCACTGACCTTGGAAGGCTGCGTCTGTGTTTAGCTTATACAGACCAGCAGCAGGAGGCTTCCATCTAGAGCTGAAATACTGCACTTGCATCCCCATATCAGCATTCGCATTAGCTTCTTCAAACTCTCCCACCAAGCACATTGTCTTGTAAAGAATGTCAGCCTCCCTCTTCTCTCTTTTATCAAAGACCCATGCATTGCGTTTCAACCAGATTCCCCACGCCAGGCACCAAATATCCCACCAATTCGTCTCCTTGATCTTTCCATACATCAGATTGCATCAACCTCGAAACCCATCAGCATCAAATGCCCTTGTGTCAAGCCGCAAGGCAGAATGTCTCCAAATAGAGGATGCTGCAGGCAGAAGAGAAGCGTATGAGCAGTAGTTTCCTCTCCCTCCCCACACATAGGGCAACGTTGATCTACATTCATACCCCTAGCCATCAACCGGCTCATAACAGGCAGTCCCTCCCTCACACTTCTCCACACAAATAATTTGATCTTTGGTGGAATACGGGCATGCCAAATACTCTTCCAATTAAAAACTACATGCCCATTTGACGAGGTTGCCTTATCCTTTACCTCTTCTTCGACCAAGAGGTTGTAAGCACTCTTTACGCTGTAACGCCCATCTTTCGAGTGATGCCATGACCAAACATCTTCCTCATCAAACAGAGGTACTGGAATACTACAAATTCCATCAATTTCCCGCTGAGAGAATAACTCAGAGAGAGTAGTCCAATTCCAGCTCTGATTTTCCCACAGATCTTTGACATACATTGGAACATCACTACCATCCTTCTTTTGTGACAGAATCCGGAACTTTAGGAGATTAGGCACCGACACTACTTCCCCCACCAATAGTCTTTATGGCACCCTTCTCAATTACCTCCCTAGCACTTAGAATCGATCTCCACGTGAAGCTCATGTTTGGGACAGCATAAATTTATTTACTCTTGGATGTCTTGCCTTTTTGCTTATAAAGGTTGAAATAATGTTATTGTTGTATGTGAGTGTTGCTGACATTACATGTAGAAAAGGTTGAAATAATGTTATTGTTAACGAAGTAGTATTGTTGCTTGAATGTTAGTAACTTATTACTTCTGCTATAATTTTGTTGTCTAGTTGCTGCTATATTCTATTATTCTGTTTACCTGCTGCTGAAATTGTTGTTGCCTGTTATATAATCCTGCTGCTGCCTGTTGTATTGCTACTGCTTTTATTTTGCAATTGCCCTGCAGCTGCAGTTCTGTTCGTCCCATAATAATAGACCTGCAGACGTTTCTAGCCCATAGTTCCTTCATGAAAGTTGTAGATCTTGAAAAGTTATTCAATCTAGGCTCAAGAATTTCTTGATTTGGAATTGTGTGCTAGGTTTCATGCCTTCTTGAAATTCCTGTGGTCTGCTGTCTTGGTTCTATCTCAGCGGGGCTGCTGTTGATCACTTGATCCCTGTGTGGTGTTGTTAATATAAAAGATTGTTCTTCCTATGTCTTGTTTGAGTTATATGGGCTGATTTAGTCATGTTAGTGTTGTAGTAGCTTTCATAACTTGAGTTTAGTTAAGAGTGGTAAAGCGATGTCAATTTTTTAGCTTCTTATCAATGACTTGCCTTGTAATCAGAGTGAAGAAAATGACTCAAGGTGCTACAAAGAAGAAACGGCAGCAAAAGAAAAAGAATTCAAAGGATAAAATTTCAGAGGATGAAATAACAAAGAAGATTTCAGCTTTGTGGGAGCAAGAAAGATTACAAGAGTGCTTGGATTTTATCATTTCTCTTGATGATGAGTGGTTGAAAAATTTAAAAGTCTATTCTATGAAAGTGCATGCACTTGTAGGTTTGAAACGGTTTGAAGGTAAGTTTATTTTCCTCCAATGAAATGGTTTGATGTAGTATGGTCTATTGTTTGCTTTAATTCTTATTTTCTACTAGGATCGGTAAGATTTGGAAAGCTTTTGATTATTTTCTTTTTACAAGTGAGTGGCTTTAAGGCTTAGGGAAAGAAAGCTTGGAAAAGATAAATACAACATTTTCAGTTTCCTAAGGAAACAATAGAGAAATGCAAGCGAATATTAATCTTGAAATATACAACTTGAGAGATAAAGAAAGCTAACAAATATTGACTAGGTTAAACTGTTTAAATCAAGACTTATCCAGAAATTTGGAAAGCATATTTGTGTTATTTGTATTGTAAATTTGTATTATTTTGTACTTCATTTATCTTAATGTTTTCATTTAATTTTGTATGATCAGAGGTATTGGCTTTGCAAAAACGACTCGAAGAATTTGGACATAAAACGACTTTGGCACTTGGTGAATGGTTTATGTTTGCGTAAGTCTATTATCTTCCTTTCTAAGGATTTTTGATAAATTATCAGGATGATGTAACTGTTACAAGATATTTATTTGAATTGATTCTATACAGACAATACAGTAGACAATAGTTAGTCATCTTTAATCACGTTGACATTAATTAAATTTTTTAAAATGCCTTGCAGTTATGCCAACAGAAAGCAAAATAATATTTTGGAAGCATATCTCCTTTATAAATATGTGCATGATCAGAAGGGTGCAGTCTGTGTAGATGATGAAGCATTCAAAAACTGTCTCAAATGGATAAAAAGACTACAATCGAAAGTTCAACCAGATTTGGATAGAATTGCAGTGGAAAGAGCTAGTAAATTTTTGGATGATGAGCGTGCTGCCTCCTCTTCCACCAAGGCTCCTGCCTCCTCTTCCACCAAGGCTGCCACCTCTTCCACTCAAGGCTGCATCCACCCGACCAGACCAAGGTTGCATCCACTCCGACCAAGGCTGCATCCACTTCGACCTTGGTTGCGTCCGCTTCGACTTTGGCGATCCCTTCTTTGACCTTGGATCCCTCATCTTTGGGTGTGGATGCCTCTTCCCAAAAAATGATGAAGGTAATCTCTTCTCAACTTTTCGTTAATTTTATGATTTTTTTTATTTGGAAAGAACAAAAAATATTATTAGGTCACTGATTAGCCATTACATTCAAGACCTAAGCGTAACAAACACTAAGAGTTAAAAGACTACATGTTTAAATACAGTTCTCAACCATTTAACATCATTAGCTCATCACTACTAGTTCCTGGAAGAAATCTGTAAATTCTATAATGCATATTTTGTTTCGGAGGACTAGTTACATGTGTATGATCATCATGATGAAAAGTCTACATAGCTTTGTTTCTTTGCTGCCAAATATAGTATACTAAACCAGCGAGACATCTTTAATATATCAATTTGAAATAAGCTATCTGTTACAATCTTCAACATAAGCAAAGTTAGTAGAGATTTTAAGCCATTTTCTATAGAACAGTAAAACAATAATGATTGCAAGAGCAGTTAAAGAACATATGTTGTCTAGATTCAGTGTTATTGCACAAGGATCAAGAGTTGTCTAGAACAATATGTATCGTTTTATTTGTTAAACAATTTTCTCTATTCTGTATTGATAAATATATATTTACAGTTTACAGAGGATGGTGTGATATACTTTGAAATGACCCAGCTTGATGAATTTTCATATCTTGGTGTAATGAAGATAGGCGGGAGTTCTTTTCCCAAGTCGTATATCAAAATTGGCGAGAATTCTACTTCAGATGTCTCAATTAGGCTTAAGAAAAACTCATGCCTATTGAAAATTGAATTTTCAATGTATTTCCACTCCCTTTCCAGTAGGGTAGCAATTGTTGAGCCGGTCCGTCCAGTAAAAGTGTTCTTTGAATTGAAGCTTGAAGATTTCAAATCGGAAGCAATGGCTCAAACTTGTAAAAAATGGTGGGAATATATCAAAGACGACTTTCTATCAATATTTCGGTAAAAAATTTACTTTGTTAATTTATTATATTTTTATTTTATGAATGAAATTTAATAATATATTATTGTATTGTAGAGGCGTAATATGTGGCATGCTTGCCATATATTCAGATCAAAAAGTCTGTAGTGATCTGGAAAAATCACTCTACGTTACTGAGGAGGGAGAAGCCAAAATATTGCATATTTCTCAAGAAAAATTTACATTCAGTCAAGCGCAAAAAGAAGTGTCTGATTTGTTGTCCATTATTGAAGGAGTCATTACTTTGATAAGACCAAGATCAAGACCAGATTTGGAAACTTGGCGTAAAGAATTTGAGCTATCTTATGAACTGCCTTCAGAATTAGGTCATTTTTTAAACAGCTTAAGAGTCAGGAAAATGTAAGTAAATTTCCCTTAAATCTGTTTTTATATTCTTTTTATTCATTATAAGTTCAGTTTATGCTAATATTATACTTTGTATATTTTGTTTATGTAACTATTAAAAAGCTTGTTATCTGCAACTGTACATTACTTATAAAGTTTTTTTTTTTTTTTTAATAAATAGGTATACTTGTATGATTAAAAATTTTATGTTTTATTTCTAACAGATGTGATAACATTCATCCAATGTTGTTGATTGATCACCCGTTTATCTGGTCGATAAATCATCGGGTTTCATTCATCCAGTCTCTTGAAGAGGCTATTAAAGAAAGGTTAATCAATGAGAAGGCTTTCAATAATAAAATGACTCCGAATTTTAGGACTCAAAATTGGAGGATTGAAGTCTCAAATGACTTGTTATTGTCAGCAATCTACAACTACAAAGGACATGACTTTTATGTTAAACCATTTCGTGTCATTAATTTTATTCATGCAGTGTTTTCCCATGCTAATGACTATCAATATGATACTATACGCGGGAAAAAGGTAATGACTTTCTTTCTATTTTATTTACGAAAATATTAATTAATTATTGCATGCTGCTAATTTTTTTATCTTTATCTTTTATAGGGTGGTTTGACTCTTGAGGAAAGAGAAAGTCTAATTACAAAAGTGTTTCCTTCAATATATACAACACTTTATGACGCCCTGTGTGATTATGCAAAAAATTCTAGTTGGTAAGAATTTAATATTTTGTTATTTCTAATGTACATCTTTTATGTTGTTTAAAATTTTTGTTTAACACTTTTTAATTTAACAGGAGATATACAGAGTCATTTTCAGATGTTCTTAAAAGATTTTCAAGTTGTGGATCTCAATATTGATTTCCTGTTCCTGGTAAGCATTTGATATCGATTTGGGGGCTATTTTGGTGTGGTGTTTTCGGGTTTTTTTTAGACAATTTTGTGACTCTAGTTAGTGGTTGTTTTAGGTTACATTGTGTGTGAATAGTGTTTGAGGTGTGTGGGCAAAGGGTTCGTATTATTGCTTGTGTGTCTTGACGATGTGAGTATGTGATAGGTGTTGCACACGTGATGGTTGTTGAGTGGTATTGTGTATGTGATGGGTGTAGAGTGTGTTTTGGTATTGGGTATTAAGCATGTCATTTATGAGTTAATTTGTATGTTTGGAATTTTTGATACTCCTTGTTACATGAGTTGTAGTGGACTAGAAGTGCGTAATTTGGCATTATTTCTTTGGTTTATTGGTGATGATGGGTAATTGAACTTTTGGACTAGGCGTACTTTTGCGGAATATGCAACAAACTACTGTGAAAAGGCATTGTAAATAACTGTTAATTGACACATAGATTAAACTAAATGTCTTTACACATACATTATGTTGTATGATTCTTATAACATTTAATATTTTCTTTCTAATTCCTTTTGGAAGTCTCGTATAATAATTACATTCATTGTCATTGCTGAAACTAAAAGGTTGGACAACTATCGGTACATCACTTGTTACTTATTCCTTTTCTTGTTTCCTGTTTCAGTTGATATTTTTTCTCTTTGTAGTTGCGTCATTTCTTGAAAAATCTCATAATCTTATTCTGAATTTTCACTCCATGTTCTCATCTCTATGAAACGTCCATCAAATTATTTTGTTATGTACAGGTTTAAAATAAAATTATGCATACGGAGTACTGGATTTATGTCTATGAGTCTGCATTCAACTCTCTGCGTGTAGATTAGTTTTTGCAGAAAAGTTCCCAATTGATGTGTTATGTCTTATTGTATTGTATTTTACTATTGTTTATGAGTACTAAGATTCATGTCTCTGAGTTTGTGTTCCAACTCTCTGGGTGTAGATTAGTCTTTGCAGAAAAGTCAATGCAGGTTGATGTTATTGATGTATTTTGTCTAATTGTAGTTGGAGTATTATGGCTATTGCTTCACTGCTGTTCTGTTGGCAAAAAAATCTGTCAAAATTGTAGAATGTAGTGGGCATTGGGGGTCAATGTGAGGCAGAGAAATGTATGAACCTATGTGTGTATCCTCAGCTTCAGCTAAGCCTTCTAGATAATATAACACAACTCCCTCATCGAATCTTGTTAGCAGCTATTCATATTTTGTAAACATGATTAACTTGATAGATTTTAAGATATGCTATATAATTACTCTCTGTATCAAGGATAGACTTTAGCAATCAAACATACAAGTAGTTAATATCACCTAAATACAATGAACTACCAATTTAATATCAGATGTCGTTCTTGCTTGCTGTCTTACAATGTAAAGATATATTTTTGTTATACATAAGTTTGTTATAGATATATTTCCGTTATTATCTGATTATTTTCTTATCATGTATACAATTACGCAGTTTGCAGGTAGGTGAAGGGGGTCGATAAATGAATTGATCCACTAGATGCATACCCTCTGATGTCTGCAGCACTAGTAGCAAGCCTGATTTATTTTTTGGTTCAGACAGATCATTGTGTTGCTTGAGATTTAAGTATAGAGCTGACTTTTTCTTATGTGAGCTAAGCTACTTCTGGAGAAGTTAAACATGGAACTACTGTTGTTTACGCATGGGGTTTTTATTCTCAAAAGAAATATGTCTGTAAAATTGTACCTGAATTTTCTATCCCCGGATCAATGTGCAGCAAGTTGAGACCTTAAAATTTATGCTTCTAAACATATCTGTTAATTTTATGCTAAAGCTTGACTCATTGAGCTTCCTACTTATGCACTCAATTTGACAATAATAATGCTAGCAACAATCTACTTTTTCTACTTCTAGTATATGAAATTAAAAGAGGTTCCCTGTATGTTCATTTTATGCTTCAATGATGCACATATACCTTTGACTTTTGTAAAATAACGTCAACAATGTTCATATACTATCCTAAACAATCTTGATAAGAAGCAGAGAATAAAAGCATTCTCGCCCTATTAATGGCCTACTTTACTTTTGCACTGACCTGTCCTAATTATTAATACCTACATCCTAGTGTAGGGTCGTACTAATACCTACACCCTACGAAGATGTCATTGTGATGCACTTGCTTGTGCAGCATTGTGAGGCCTTTAGACTTCCTCGTTGGTATGGTAGCCCAATAAAACCAAGTTTTCAGACTTTAGACGAAAAAGAATAAATTTTCGAGGATTTTATGCGTAATGCTCGCTGCGTTTGGCAGATATTTTGGACACAAATTCCTGTTTCTCTCACATGGACTTCCTAATGTTTTTTTCTTATAAATTAAGGAATGAAAATGACACAATCAAGAGAGAAAACTAGCATGATATTTCAGAACTTTTAATGGTCATTAAACCAAGATCACAGTTGGGATTCAAAGAATAAAAGTTCTAAGATAAACTACATTAATATTTGCAGACAAGATACTTAAAAAAAAACTATAGCTTATCCCATCTGTGGTTCATCTTTATATAATTATATAATGGGATTCATCATCAACCCAAAATTTTGAATCCTACCAATTTACATGGTGCAGTTTGGAATTCAGTCTCCAAAAGTCATCACAGTCAATCACTTCATATATCAAACCCCTTGAGAAAATCTGCAATACCCGTAAACAATGATAGTATAAGAGTAAACTTCTCATTTTTCTATCGCGCCTTTGATTATCCCCATCTTTACAAATGTCAAACAAGAACTTTGATAGTGAAGCAAACCGCGGAAGATGGAGGAGCATATCCCCAAAAGATCAATTATTGGCATGCTTGGTGTCTGATTGCCGCCATCTCCCCCAGCTGTAGTTGTCACCCTCATTAGTTGTATTCTGATCCAATAACTAAGGTTCATGGTTATTGGCTTTTCCATCCACACTTTCTTCAGTCACATCAGAACTCTGAACAGAAGCACCATCTTTCTGAATGAGGGAGTACCAAGAGTTGACCTTTGAGTCTCTAACATGAGGAATTTTCATCAGAACATGGTCGGGTGCTGGGTAAATTCCTCGATCGTTTTATTTTGGGACTTGGATCCTTCTTATGTGAATTTAGAAACCTCAGAACTCCTCTGTTTCGTAAGGCAATTTCCAATATGATTCACTGGGTCACTCATGCATAATTCACTGTTCAACGCTTTTTAATTCCTTTGGTTTTCCTGATTGGCTACTCGAACTAACTTTCATTACGCACACATCCATCACTGAAATGAATACTTGGTGATCAGAAGGAAATTTAACAAATGGAAATTAAAAGCCAATGTCCAAGATTATTGATGACCATTGATATCATAAACATGATGAATTATATCTCAACACCACGGGCACCTAGGTAGCTAGCAAGTGAATGCTGAGGCTGAGATAGACTGAGACATAAAATAGTTCTGCCCTTCCAAAATTTAAAACAAAGGATTCTTAAGATAATGAACATTTAAAGAGGAAGCATGGCCATATATTGCTCACCAGATATACATCTAGAGGTGGGAAGTGGGTTGTTCAGACGTGGTACAATTCAGGCCATGTCAAGTCATGTTTGGGTATGTTCAACTGAATCAGGTCAGTTTGGGCCAAATCATATTTAATTCTATTGCCAACAATCTTACTATGTTAAATAAAACGTATTAGACATATTAAGTGTCGGCAGTCACCCCCCTACGGCCCTACACCCCTACCCCCATTAAAGCATAGGATTTTTATGGTAATGAACATTTATAAAACAAGAAGCATGACCACAAATTGCTTTAGAGGTGGCAAAGAGGTTTTTTTTGTTGGTACAAAATTCAGGTCATGATAGGGTATGCTTCAGGTCGGTTCAGGCCAAATCATATTTGATATTATTGCTAGTAAACTTATATGAAAGTAATCGTAATAGACATACTAAGTCTCGGCATCCTCCAATCCTCCCCCCCCCCCGGAAAAAATATAAAATATATAAAAATCTCTTCTGGTATGATATATTGACAGATCCTACAATAAATTCAACATAAGGATGTACAAAGAAAGAAAACAGAAATTCTAACAAGAAAATTGTTGAGGAATCCATGCCAAATTTCAGACACCATCTCCAAATACAGAAGTCTAGGACAAACACAACAACATCAATGGTGTCTAAATCATAGCAGACATGGTGATAAAAAGGATACCTGAGCTTGGAGAAGTAGCTTCACAAGACAGAGTCTCAGATGTTCCATAACTTGTTTGACTGAGAGAGATGATTATTAGGATAAAGGTATTCCAACATCTTCAAAGATTGAGATGCTAGGTCCTCTGCTAGTTTATATTTGATCCAAGCTATGACTTTTAGATTCATTTGAGTCGTCAAAAACAGAAGGCTGCAAATCGAAGTTTGGAGGATCTAGACTTATTAATTTCTGGTTACCGGCTCAGGAAATTAAGATGCATATCACACTGTGTCAATTTCTCAAAATGCTTGTTTAATAGACCATAAGGCACCAGAAGGAAATGCTTCCTGTAAAATTGCAGTAGTATAAAAAATATAGATTTTAATATTCCCTAGCCAAAAAAAGTAAAATTAATAAGCCTTAAAATTACACAATTTTAAGAAAACGCAGTGCATGTAGAAAAACTTTATTTAATGCCAAAATAAATTCAGGAAAATTCATATTATATTATTTTAATAATATACATCCTCCGTTTAGTAATAATGGCAACACTTCCTATCTAGCAAGGAGTTAAGCCTACTACAATTTTATTATATCTCTCCCATTAACCCCAGTACCCCACAACCCACTTGTACAAATATGTTATTAATTCTCTCTCCTATTGTTATTATAAGGAAATTTTGACTTTTGGTACCACAAAAACACTCGGTATTCATTTTTGCTACCGCTCATATTTTTTTTTTATTTTACTACCACTAAAAATCACATATTTTAAAATTCGCTACCAGTTGACGGAAGCTGTTAGTTTTGCCGTTTGTGGGCCCCACTTCACCCCTACCCCTCTCTCTCCTCCTTCCCCAGCCACCAATCCCCTTCCCCTTCCAATCCCTAAACCCCAGCTCCCAAAACGAGCCCAGCATCATTTATATACAAATCCGTCCTTCCCTCCCAATAAAATATAGGGAGCATCTTCATTTAACTAAGTCCAAACATAATCAAACATTTTTCAATTTTAAGTAAGATGAAATTATAAGTTTCCCATATTACTCTAAATTACACCCTTATAATTCCAAAGGGGCATTAAGAACATAACGCCCACAGGTCACAGGACGAGGCAGTTCTATGTTAATTTGCTCATTAGACAGATCTTTAAATAAGCATCTGAGAAAAATATAGCATTGGTTGTACCATGGATACTTGGATGAGATTAAGACAACCTTATAATGGAAAGTGATATAGCTCAATTCAAACTCAGATCTCTTGATTGAAAAAATTCCAATCAGTAATTCAGTATTGATTGGCTCTATCTCCCTTCTTTCTTGAGATCTTCATAGGCCTTCTTTAAAGCCCCCAACTCCATTTGCGCCTTCCCCCATCAACTACTAAAACCAGAGATCATGAAATCATGGTACTGTCTAAAAATCATTAAGCTTGATGGCACACAAGCTGCAATGTTGAGTTAAATGGAAATTGTCAGTGCCTTGAACTCGATTACCATATCCCTCATATCTCATATGAACATCATCAGTCATAGAGCATAAAGTGACACAGAAACATTTGATGGCCTTGGCCAAAGCATTGCTAAAATGGTTTCTTTTAACAGAGAGTTACCAGCTTCCTTGAGGGATACTGCATATTCCATAGCCTCCGATCCATTGGACTACTGGTTTTCTCAAACATTTCCTCAACATCACAGTCATCCTCCCCTAAATGATGCAAAACAATAGATTCCACACTTGAGTCTTCCCCTAAACCCATTCCCAAATAAAAAAACAGAACAAGAACAAAACTAGATAAAACAAACAAAAGACCATTGGAAATCCT